GATCGCCACTTAGATATCTGGGAGCAAGGTCAAGGTCATTTGCTTACAAAAGAATTCAATAACTTCAGTGCACTTTGACCTATTGATTCCTGTCACATCAAGACTTGGTCGTTGAAGCCAGGCTATCGTCGCATTGCGGCGCTTCTTGTTTTATTATTGACATATGCATTTATAACTCCTATACTTCTTACGTTTATTTGAATCTCACGCATCTTGTGAATCGGTAGATGCATGTGCATGAAACGAGTTTATATCGATATTGTCTTTACTTTTTCCATCAGGCCCAGTTCTGAAAGTTCAAATTTTAAAATAGTGTTGAAAATCTTCAAGGAGTAGTATTGAAGCTTTGTTACATTTAATATGATTGCAGTTTACCACAATTATGAGTGAGAGTCTTAGGGCTTCAGGGCTGTAGAATGGCACAGAATCAGAGAATGAAATTTCGGTAGAGACCGCTGGTGTAGTTACTGTTGTAAACGTTATTGTCAGTGATGCGGATGCTCCTGATACTGATCTCAAGAATTATAATGATCAAGAAAAAACAAGTCAAAAACTATTTCATCAGGGAGTTACTTAGGCAAGCAAAAATAGAAAGAAGACATTGTGATGACGTGTATCAAGCAGAAAACAATATGGCCATTAACATAACATCTCATTCAAAGTGTCCATTTCAATGAGAGATATGCTTAAAATTATAACAAAAAATCAAAATCTGTCTTAAAACTACAATGGAACAAGTAACAAGGAGAATAATCTAGAACAATCGGTTTTTATTTCGTTCTCATAATTTTCCACGATGTAAAAATATTATGTGTTATTTTATACTTATATGCACATACATATATGTATACTGTTGGGATTAAATATGTGTCCACCAAAAACAAGCATCACAAAAGTCACAGTTTATTTTGGCATTTTTGTTTGAAAGACTTTTGCTTGACTGACACGTTGCAAAATATTATATGACAATTATTATAATTTTTAATTAATAAATTTCGATAAAGCACAAGTTTAAGAGGATATGTTAAGTGCTGTCCAGGAAACACAAACAGATAAAAATGCAAGAAATGTGGTAAGACATTTAAGATAACTGATATTCAAATGACCAAACACGTATGACATGTTTCAATTTTAAGGTCAACCTATGTTGCATACTAACTTATCTCCGGTTAGTGTTAAATCATCATTATCATTATTATAAACGAGATTGTGTGATTCTGGACAAATTAAATCTTTTGATAGACTTCTCAATGAAATGAAGTATTTTAGGTTGGACAATATCAAAAAAAATTTTTTATCGATGAAATAACAGTTTAGAGTATTTTGCAAGTTTGCAAGAAATATTTTCAACAAGAAATTATAATATAACAGGATGGCATTTATTTCGGATATGACACTGTATTTCCTAAGTTACGTAGATTTCAGATCTAATTATGTAACATATTGGCTGAATGTCTGTTAAATATATCAAAATCTGTAGAAATTCTCTATCCAGAGGGACTTTATTATAAAGGAAAAATCAAGGAAGTTGGCTACTTTGCTAATTTTCAGTTGTTTTCCTAAAAATTAAAAATATTCGTAGGAAGCAAACAGAGCCAGTTTTTTGAATTCATGTCTTCATTGAAAGGATATCATATATAATATGTAAGAGGTCGAATGTATACACAATTGTTGTATTTAGCAACTTTTTTAAAAAATATATTAAGCTTCCCACTTTCTTCATATTTGGAAATTTATTGTTCTTTATTGTTAAAACAGTTTTATATTTATCCCCATATAACATGTCACGTATGTTTCGTTTTATTCAAATACAAGTAAAGGTAAAAAAAAAACAGTTTTGATTTTTTGTAAAATATTTATATTTTTGGATATATTTTAACATAATTATGTATAGAATTAAATACGGCAAGTAAGCTCTTGCAGAGAAACAAATTAGTTGTAGTTGAAAACTTCAACAGCTTGTTATATATTTTTAACATTTCTGCTGGTACATTAACATATTATGAAAATATCTTTCCTTTGCAAACTTCTTTTGTATCTTCTTACTACATGTACAAGGTAACCGTTACTAATAGGCATGCTAATCTAAACTTTATCTTTAATTTTCAAAATTTGTTGAATTGTAAGTTGGAGTAACGTATGTTTCACATCGGCTTATTTATGAAATCTATCACACGATTGAGACTTACTTGTAAAATCGGCTCTATTATCAAGGAATCAAATGTACATCATTCTATTGTCATATAAAAGCGATGTAACGTTTTTAAATTTGAATGTGTAAACAATTTCAAGTCTGTCTTATAAAAGTAACGTATGTTTCACTGTGGTTACTTAAACAAGTTTTAAAAAATCGACCAAAGTTAACAAAATTTACTTAATTAAGTAAAATTGAAGTTGATATTGCTCTTGTAAATGTTTTCTAAATTGAATTTCCCTTTTGATTAAATTACTTTATGTGACATTATGCACATATTTTCATAATCAAGTTTAGCTGAATTCATTTGTTATTTCAAAAGATTGACTGTTAAAATGGTGTTTGACCAACATTTTATTTAAGAAAATGTTTCGGATAAAATTTGAAACCTGCCTAAAATATAAAAAGACTGCCCCACTCTTTTAATTAACAAAACGTTTCATGTAAATTCTAATTAATATGTACACAAATTCCGTTTCATATTAAAAGTGGGTTGAAAAATGAAGCAAGAGTGTATTACCCGCCATAATTTGTGGTTAATATATCAAAATTACACACACATGGTTATTTTCTTTCTTGTTCAGAGTCTGCCTTAAATGAGTAAGCTCTTAAACATTGGTAACGTATGTTTCTTTTTCAAATGCTGTTGAAAAAGATTTGAATTAAAAATAAAAATTTCATAAAACAGACTGATATTTGAGAGGCTGTCAGCTTAATTTTGCTTAAAATCAGACATATCCTGTAATTTTAAGCATCCATTGTTTCATGTATTAAAATCTGTTTCGCATCTAAATGTTTCAAGATTGTTACTATTTATCTATATGTATTTTGCGTCATTTGATCATCTATGATATCAATGAGATTTTAACGATCAAATATATACTGTTTTACTTATTATCAAAGTGCATATGCATGTAGCAATGACTAATTGCACACGTTTTCGTTTTTTCTGAAACTTATTTTTTCTGAAACACAATTTCAAAGTTGAAAATTCTAAGTGGCGACAGTTACGTATGTTAAAATTTAGGGAATAAAGGTACTTGTAAAATAAAAACAGAAAAAAGCAAAACTTAGAGAGTCCAAATTAGACAAAATGGCAGCCACGTGCTTCACCTTTCTGAGGACATTATGACCTCAAGAAAAACGTTCGTATAAGAGATACCCAGTGGAACACCAAATGCTGTGTTTTAATGAAAATTAGTTATTATGCTCGCAACATTTAAATCTTCATCAGGTAGACTACCGAAGTATGTTATCTGTATTGCTGAATTACTTATCGTTCCCCTTAAGAATTCATCATATTGGAAAAAAGTAGACATGAAAAATATACAGTTCCACTCGATCCACTTTTAATGATAATACCATTGTTCTTGTTTTGCACTTAACCATGTTAACAAGTTCAGCAACAATAATGTGTCGATTTTACTTTGTAGCTCAATCCCCAAAATAGAAAAAATAAGAATCCCTAAAGAAAGCCCAACACGGCAAATTGAAAATGTTGCAGGCTACATTTGATTGAGCCTGTACTTGACAGATACTATTTATTTATAATTATGTACTTGGCAACATTTGACATAAATAGTAACTGTCAAGTACAAACTAATATTCACGCCCCTAGCACCGGCTCAAGCAGAATTCAAGATTTTACTTGAACTGGTACAATTTTGAATTTGAAAACATCTGCAGATGTGTTCATATGGTGGATTTTGACATGATGGGACTGAAAATTATTTTTCCTGATCAATGTACCATTTGATGTAGGTTTCGACCAGTAATATATGCGAAAAAATTTCAGATCATTCGCGCACTTCGTTTTTCAAGATTGTTAAAAAATGACCCAAAAGGAAAAGCGTTTAAACGCTTTTCACTCAAATCGGGCTAAGAAAAGCATAAACATACGATTTTCAATTTATTTCAAAGTATATTTCTTAACTATCTTTGCAAACATTTCTGTTTTAAGTGACCCAACTCATTTATGTAAGAAATTCAAAAACGACAAAATAGAAAATATTTCAGAGTCGGCTTGATTGATTCTGTTCATGGACGATACTGTAAAAAACAAACGACCGCCCACGCCCCCTAGTACCGGTTTTAAGCAGAATTCAACATTTAAACATGAAATTGTAAAGTTGTAAACTAAGAAACATCTGCAGATGTGGAAAAAAAACAAGAATAAAGATCACTGGTATTTTCAAAATTGGCCCAATATTTGTGTACCATTTCATACAAGTGTGGACCAGTAACCTTTATGCAAATGTACAAATCATTCCCTCATCCTGTTTCTTAAGACTTCTAAAATGACCCAAAAATGAAACGTTATGTTTAATGTTATAATGCATTTGTTAAACGTGAAAATGCAAACTGTGTGCAATTTGCTTTGTTTCAAGTTATAATTGTCAATGCTATGTTAAATATGGAAATGAACAACACTTTGTTAAATGTGTTTATGCAATGCTCTGTGTTTACTGTGATAGTGCATAATGTTGTGTTTAATGTGTTATTGCACTTTGTTGTGTTTAATGTGGTTATCCACTTTGCTGTGTTGGATGTGATCGTGCACTATGCTTAGTGGAATGTGATAGTTAATTATCTCAAACGAGTTGTCTTATATCAATAATTCGATATGCAGTCTTATTTACATCAATCTATATATTGAGGATGCACAAAACAATTCACGTTTTCATAATGTATTATTCTACGTGAGGAAAAAGTGTAAATATGAACAAGAAAACTTGTATAAAATACATGTATAAAGGTATTTTTTATACTTTGTATCATACAAAAACCATTATAATCTAAAAAACCACTATAATGCAGTAGTTGCAATTTTGTTATCTTTAGATTCCTCATTAACACTGGTTGAATGTTGTATGTTTGGTATTGGCATGGTGTATGTTTTAGGTATGGAGCATGCTGTCGGTAAAGCAATCCCGTCAGTTCTGTTACATGTTCTATCTATGTTACACATATTTGGTATATCACACGTTCTTGGTACATAACACGTGTTATGTAAGTTACATGCCCCTGCGGTCAAGGGAAAACTTCTATCTATCGACACAAATGAAGCAGTTTCAGTTTTAAAATACTGCTTCCAACATAATTTCAACTTTGATTTGAAGCTTTGAAGTGATAATGCGTAAAGTATAGGGTTCAAAACAGTTAAAATCTTGGCAAACATCGCCGGTATTGCAATCATTAATGGAGTTAACCACTCTCTTTTGCCAACTAGGCCAATCCAAGACACGACACTATAAGGTGTCCATGCAAGACAAAAGACTGTGATAAGCATAAGGGCCACTTTAGCTGTCTTCAGTTCACATCGTTCCAGTGTTCTACTTTTGCGCATGCGTCGAAATGACACTTCATCATATTGACCACTTTCTCGAACACTGAAATAAATTTTCTCATGTTGTCTAACTTTCATAAAAATGACATAATAACAACTTGCAATACATATTATAGGTATAAGGAAAAAGAGCACTTGAATTGAGATATTGTACAGCATATTTTCCGCAGATTTTCTAAACTTGTCGCTGACGTCACACGAGTTCGTGAGTCCTTCTATAGACAAACGACCGTATCCACACAGAGGGAATGCAGCACACAACAGGGAACAAATCCAAATTGCAGTGATGACATAGTTTGCAATAACTTTATCCGAAGAATATCTTATAGGTAGGCTTCTTTTTATTACTATACAGCGATCGAAAGCTAAACAAACCAATGACCATATTGACAGAAAGCCTGTGAATGCGCCAAAAAAGTTGTTGATCCGGCAAACTGAAATTAAAGAATTGATTGAGCTACTAAATGCAAATGTAAATTGATAGTTGCAACTATAAATTTAAACTTCCGAGTTTGCAACTTTTGAGTTAAGAATGCAATAATTAAAATGGAAATGCACATATTTATTTTTCATCTATATTCTGTAAGAACTCTTAAAGTCTTGATAGGTTTGATGTTTAAGTCACGCCGATATAATTATTGTTATTGTCAGGTGATCACATAACAGCTTTATAAGTAAAGGAAAACTTCAAGTACACTCTCTAACTCCCTAGCAGTATTTGGACACTAGAGTAGAACCATCAACATGACTTGTAGCAAGCTGTAAAGCTTCTCTTAACATATCAGAGTCTACAATCTCTTGATGAATGAAATTTCGCCTGTTTGTGTGGAAAATTTTTTATCCCCCAGCCGCGAAGATCAATGAGACGTTGCTCTGATATAAATATTGATTTTAAAAAAGTAACACATACACCATATATCGATATCGCTATCCAAATCATTTCGAATGAAGTAATGGGTTAGCATTGGCAGACACAGAAGACACATTAGGAAGTCTGGCACGGCAAGGTTGATCACAAACGTGTTTGATGAGGTTCGCAAACTTTTATACCTGAAATAGGATACGGAATTTAACATTCCTGTTAAACAATTTGGTAAGTAAAGAAGCAAGGAGAGAATTTCCATGGAGACTTGAAATGCTGGGTATATGTTGGGCCTCGTTCAGTGATGGTCATTCTCGCTTGTAAGCCAATATAAACTTGACAAAAATATAGCAAAACAAGGTTTGAAGTAACAAAAATTGAAAACATGAAAGGCCCATAATGCTTTTATTTTTATTCCTAAAACGCTATTTCTATGCTTTGTAATAGTTGTTTAAATGCTACTCATCTTTTTCCCTTATATAATGTAATTTGTCAAGTTTTAGCGACTTGTTATTTTGTAGTGAAGACAAAATACTATTTGTTTTTGTTTTTCTACTCTTATGACCAATCTTTTTATATTCAATTATACATTATAAAGACAATTAGCATTCTACGTGATCAAACGCTTTTAATAAAACATTATAAATATTAGTTGTCTTTTTTGTCAAAAGAAATGTCATATTGACGTCTTCTGCTTATTCTTCTTTTAACATGAGGAAGGAAATTAGATTTTAAAAACGCTGTTAATATTGGTCTGCATTGTAACTTTGACATTTCTTTCTTTCAAAAGAATAATTTCTCAATAACTTTAACAATGTAATTATCTCTATAGGGGAGGTTTTACGTCGCACGAACACAGTATAGGTCAGATTGCGACTTCTAGCTTTTCTGTTGGAGGAAGACCTCAGGGGCCCTTACGTGCATTATTTAGGGCACGAATGGGCAACTTAATTCAACCACTGACATTCCGTTAGCTAGCTGGATATCTTCATCGCATGAAAAAAGCAAAAGATTGGATCCCACAGAAGTGAGGGGTAAGTGATTGAATGTCAACGAACGTAAATAGTAAAAGATGGTCCGGCGTGGATTAAATGTAGCCAATGATAACATTTAAAAAGAAAGTTTCAGTTGGAATATGCATTAAAAATAAATAGTGAGGCCTTACTCATTATGATGTTGAATCTAAACAAACAAGCAAACAAACACATAATTAACAAAAACATATTATATACAACATGTAAATTCTACACGTCTTCTATGGCCCTGGCATTGTTGTCAGGGAAGGCTATTTTTGTTGTCCAGTACCAATTCATTTCACCTGTAGGGAAATATTTTCTATGTTTATTACAACAATTTTCATATAACGTCTTTTATTACCGTAAATATTAAAATAAAAACAAATATGACGATTCAGTCTATAAACTTGTATGTTCAAACGACGATCGATCTTCCGTTGTGAATTTGCGCATACAGGGGCCTCCGTGGTAGTCGAATGATTTAAATGACGCTCGATCTTCCGTTGGGAATTTGCACATACCGGGCCTCTTTGGTAGCCGTGTGATTTAAATGACGACCGATCTTCCGTTGGGAATTTGAACATACCGGGCGTCTGTGGTAGCCGAGTGATTAAAATGACAATCGATACTTCGTTGCGTCTTTGCACATACCGTGGCCTCCGTAGTTGCCGAAGTGATTAAAACGACGCTCGATTTTCCGTTGTTAATTTGCACATACCGGGCCTCCGTGGAAGCCCAGTGATTGAAATGACGATCGATCTTCCGTTGGGAAAATTTGCACATACTGGGCCTCTGTGGTAGCCAAGTGATTAAAACGACGATCGATCTTCCGTTGGCAATTTGCGCGTATACCGGTGCCTTCGTGGTAGCCGAGTTATTAAAACGACAATCGATCTTCAGTTGGGAATTTGCACATACCGGGGCCTCAGTGGTAGCCGAGTTACGTTCTTCCGTTGGGAACTTGCGCGTGCCGGGGCCTTCGTTTCCTTTAATAGTGAATTTACTCGTTTCCGCTTGTTTTGTTTGATTTTTCGACGTACAAATACACTTTAGGTTATATGGCGTCAAAACAAGAAAGATGACTTTGGCTAACACACTTAAAGCTACAACAGGGATCAAACACTAAATCTGCTTGATCTAAAAGAATGTACTCAAGTAATTCAAATGCAGGATGTACACTGTCGTACTGTATGGTGATTTTGTTGTCATTTCCAAATATCTCACCTTGGTTTAACAGTGTTAGGCGTGATAGTAAATCGTGTTAAATAACTTCTTTAATTTATGTTTTCATTTTTTGTTTGTTTTGTTTTCTTGTTTTCTTTTCAAATGCCTGAATTATCATTCAGATACAGCAAAAACATCAATGTGTTACATATAGTTCTAAACATATCTAATGTTGGATATATAATGTTCGAATCTAATATTTGAAAAAACAACAAACTGATAATTACAGTCTCTTTAACAATTAAAATAAACATCTTTTGAATACAGAAAATATGTTACGTTCTACAGGTAACCAGCACATAACTACATTTTGTAAAGTTATAATTGTCAAAGGGGAAGCCGATATACAGTTTATCATACTCGTATTAATTTTGTCAAAACAAAATTTTGACAAGCATGCGCCTAGTAGTTAATTGTGCCGTCTCTTTAACAAGGTGCCCGGAACCATTTTTGTGTCCAGTGTTCTGACTGTGTGTTTCTATATACATGTAGCTATATATAGTACAACTCTATCAATGTTGCTTTCCTTCACTGATTTTATTTTATATTTTATGTTCAAAAATAACAGCAAATAAAATTCAAGTAATATGATATGTGTCATTCGGTTTTGGCACGTTGCTATGCTAGCGTCGAGTAGAATTCGCGTAAATTAATATGGCTGATGCAACAAATTGAAAACAATTGTGAACGATTTCCTGAAGGATTGGTGACAAAATTAAACCATTTAATAAAATCAACGGTTAAATTTTAGTTAATGGTTCATGTTGAATTTTTAAATCGGGGTAATATCGAGATGGAAGTGGTCCATTATGAAATAAGATTAAACTTAAATAAAATTTATTAAAACTTTTCAGTTATAGAGATTTCCTTCACAATGCAGAAAAAAAATTTTAACAATGGCAAAATTGAAATTACCTCGGAAGCAAAAAAATAAAATAAAATAAAATAAAAAAAAATAAAAATAAATAAATCAATCAATCAATAAATAAAAAATAAAAATGGATATTGCAGACTCGGTTTTTATTGAGTCATGTGAAATGATGTTTACGTGCAAGATATATTACGCCCACTGGCATGGACTGAAGCTATTTCGTAACTGTCTATCACCGCTGTTATGAAATTCATCATTTATTTTACAGGAATGTAAATAGTGTTAAATAAATGAACACCCATTCTTAGATGTACGTTCATGTCGGTTCTCATGGAAACGTAAATCGAACATGTCCGTGCCATTCCATGAAAAGCTGCAAATGTCCCCACCAATCCCCCATAAAAGAATTGGATGATATGATAGGAAATCAGAGATTGGTCAATGTTTGATTTGAAAAAAAAAAATGTCATTAGCTGTTATTTATTTACATTTTTCTTTTGTACAAGACTAGTTTAAAGTAAAATAGGGAAATTCTGAATCCGTATTAACAAAACTGAAAATTTTGCAAGCTCAGTTAAACGTGAAAATGTTATCTAGCTCGACTACTTAAGCGAGAATAGAATCTACGGAGGCCCGCCATTTTGTTGCTTTATAAACACATAAATCATACACCTGCAGGCCAAACAAGAAAATAGCACACAAATCAGTGGCTCTCATTTTATCTCAATTATAGCATCATTATCACGGATGTAGGTTACTAATTTGACTTCTCCCTACCTACATAAACTTTATTTTGCAAGTCCACTTACATTTGAAAATATCCTTTTAAATCATAGCTCCCAGAAACTGAACGAAAACTTTGCTTTTATTTTTCTTTTCATCGAAGAGGGCACTATTTTAAGATTCAGCCCATATCTTAAACTGTTAAGTTAAATGTTGTGATAAAGATTTATGTGAAGTCTCCCTTTGTATTATCTCATGATTATGTCTTTAATTCATAGGCGTTGTTTCAACTCGGTAATGTTGCAGTGTCAACGTTAAACAATCACTTGCGTATATCGCCTTGTGAACTACCCATCCTTACAATCGTTCCAGAAGAAAGGGGTTGCCGTCATAAATTACAATGTTGTTGTATCTATATAGTTTGAAACATATTTTCAAAAGCTAAATGTACTTTTTTCATACAGCAAACATATCACCCAGTGATCGATTTAGTTGTTTTTGCCTAACATCACATATCTGTAATCGGCATGATAATTAAGCGTTAATTCTTGTCAGTTATTATCTTTAATCCTCATAAATGTCAACAAAATCAATATCCGTGTCGACACGGAAAAACATATTATCTTAATTATCGTCTACGAATCGATGTTCATAGCTTTTCTCCTCAATTATAAAAGTTCAAAAAAAAGCAGGGGGAGGGATTTTAAAAACATGAACATTTCTACAATTATCGAATGTTTTCCGGCTTCAAAAAAGAGATATTGCACTGGTGTGTAAATACGTATTTTAACGTACGTATGCATTATATAATGTGAATTATATATCAAATATATTTATTATCAGATTCGAAGTTCCGAATGTTTTGGGCATTTTTAAAAAAAATAACTTATACGCGCGTTAATGAAACAAATCTTTAATTTCATATGCGTTTCCCCCTCTTTTGGGTATGTTGTAAATTGAAAATAACATACGTATTACTTTTTAACTTAATCCGCCAGAGACTAGCATTGAACTGTATATTATTTTATTAGATCTTCTTCAATAAATTCAGCATAAAACCTTAATTCTCAATTAATACAATTTTTCACAAACCATTTTATAAAAGAAAATATTCAACTATATGATGCTTTATGATTCTTTTTGTTTCATGATAATGTTATTATTTGACAGCTGTGGTATAGTGTGTTAAATATAATTTTGAATCATATATATTTTAAAACTTTCGGAACTTCGAATCTGATAATAAATATATTTAATACTTAACAGCAGGCATGTCAAAAGAAGTCTGTAAAAACCTATTACTGACAAATTGTCTGAAACTAATTAAAATTAATTAAACATACTTACTTTATGAATAAGGCCAAAACTGTTGCATTTCCA